ACCAAGAACCCCCCACCCAAAGGGTTCCCCCCCCCCCCCCCCTCCTTTTTGCCTCATCTTTTTTAACACCGACCCATGACTCAACCCCCCCCCCGCCGCCCGCATATCTCTTCGCGTCTCCAATAACCAGGCTACTGGAGGGGTGACATCACCCAGACCTACATCCGCGAGTGCTGGAACCCGAGCGCCTGCGCCGGCGGCACGGGCGTCAACGCTTCCTCCTCCTCCTCCGCCTCCTCCTCTTCGTCCTCTTCGTCTTCCCGGAACTCGGTTTTCGCCGCAACAGTTACGACCACTGCTTCCACCACCGCCGATGTCAACGCCACCGCCGCCAGCTTCGAGTACGAGGACGCTCGCTACTGCATCGAGGGACACAGGGGCGCCTATTGCGCCGTGTGCGCGGACGGGTACGTAAATATGTTTTTTTTTCCTCTCTACTTTTTGCTGGGTTCGCTCATCTCCGGGTTTGTTTTCGTGATCTGCTGTTCTCGTGCTTGGAGAATTTTTTGGGTCCATTTTTTTGTATTTTCCGGTGTTTGATTTACAGAAAGGTGTGGAACCCTATTTTGGGTTGTTGGCCTACGACCACGGGAAGGCTTCCCGGATATTAGAAGACACCAGAGCGGAGACCGGAACGATTTCAATGTATGGATATAACCAGAAACCAGCTGAATCACGTGCGGGAGCCACATCGAGCAAATGGAAGCGGTACGCATGAAACTCCTGTATCCGAAAGATGACGTCATCACATGACACCGTGTTGACAAAATGCCCACGAACCATAGACGGTAACCCAACATCCATCACGCAGCTACCTCCGAACACCATGACAGAAATCCGTGGTCCTCGGCATCCCTTTGCATCCACAACAATATACCATGCTACCGTCTTCAGCAAATGCCCACTAACCTAAACGGTACCAACCCATCACACGGCAATCGTACCTCCGAATACTGTCTGTTACTGTTACAGGTACCGGAGGTTCTCGGGGGGGCAGCTGTGCGTCTCGTGCGCCGGGGTGTGGAGTACCGGGGCGCGAGCGACCTTGTGGGTGCTGGGGATGCTGTCCCCGGTGGTGGTGGTGGCGCTGGTGGTGTTTTTGATTGGTGGCCTCACCGCCGTGTCGCAGGCAAGTGCCGTTGTTGTTGTTGTTGTTGTTGTTGTTGTTGTTGTTCCAGGTGTCAAATGTTGTAGAGGAGTCTCGCGTGGCCGTTGCAATCGGACGTGTGTAACGCGGGCGATGGTCTGTTGGGCTTTTCCTCTTTCGTTGCGTAACTTCAGTGCGTGTCACGTTGATCAGTTCGTTGTTTTCCCGCACGCCCTTGAGAACCCTGTAACAAACCCAAACGCCGCCTGGTGATGTGAGGTCACCGCTGTACAGCGTAGTTGGTCCGATTTCGGGGTTTCATGCGAAACACATTTTTCGCTATTTCCATGAAGTGTACTACCCATGTGATGATGCCGGACTAAGCAACCAGGCGAAGACAACAGCTTATTTCGCTATTTCGATTAAGTGTACAGTATCCCATCTGAATGATGACAAAGTAAGCAACCAACCATCGACAACAACAGTAACATCATTCTCACCAGCACCAGCGTCGACAACAGAACGCCTACCCTCCCTCCTCCGAACGATTTCACAGCTCCAGGGGAAGCTTTCGTTGTGCCTCCTCGGGCGTCGTTCGAAGACCGTAACTGCCTCTTCCGGCGGGTCTACCCTGGCGCCGTCGCGAGCGTCGAGGAGGGCCGCAGCGGGCACGGTCGGGCTGCGTCTCCTCCGTGCGGTGCCCTTCCAGAAGCTCAAGATTCTTGTCGTGGTCTGGCAAATCCTGACCCAGGTGTGTGTGAGTGTGTGGGAGAGATAAGAGAGAGAATTGAGACCACCTTTTTTTTTGTAACATTGTTCGTGTCTCCTTCCTCCCCCTCCTCGCCCTCCTCCTGTGGCCTTAAGGCGCTCTTTCTGACTCTCTGGTGTTGATGGCGTTGTTGGTTCTGCTGGTGACACCATCGAATTGTCATGTGCGTTTTATGGCAGTTTTCGCACCTGGCGGAGATCCCGTATCCCCCGTCCTACCAGCGATTCCTCAACATCTTGGACGTCTTCAACTTCGGTGAGAGCAGGACCACTCCGGATGGGGGGGGGGGGGGGGGGGGGGGGGGGAACCAAAAGGGGGGGGGCGGGAATCTTTAAAACTTTTACCCCCCCCCCCCAAAAAACGGGGGGGGAACACCCGGGGTTCCCCCCGGAAAAGGGTTCCAAATTCTCAAAAGGGGAAAACCCGGGGGGTATTTCCGGAACCCCATAAAAGGGGGGGGGGCCCCCCCCTAAGGGGGTTGGGGTCTTTTGGGTTTTTTCTTTGGGGAAAAAAAAAACCGGCGGAAAATTTAATTTTTTTTTGGGGGGGGGCCCTCCCAAAAAAAATTTGAACTCTTGGGAAAACCCCCCGGGGGGGTTTTACCAATTTAAAAAAAGGGGGGAATATCCCCTTGTGGGGGGGGGGGGGTTCCCCCCC